AAATGTTAGGTGCGCAGTTGTATGTGAATTATTATAATTATATATATATATATATTATATACCAGTATATATAGTTATGTTACCGTTATTATATACAATATATACTATATATATATATACATGGGTATTAAGACATACTATACGCTCTTGATTCTTAGTTTGCTTCAGTCCTATATATTATATATTATATATATATATATACTATGTATATTATTTATTTATGTATGTTATAATATTGTATTATTAGATAAGATAAGATAAAATGCTCGGAACGCCGTATATATTATGCAAATCGCGCGTCTTGATTTGTCCACGGAGGACGCGCGCTCATTGGTGGTGTGTGAGCGGTCGCCCCTTCTCCCTCCTGTTTACTCCAGTCCCGTCCATTAAGTCTCCTTGATTACGAACGTCGACTGTTGTCTGTCGCATGTCACTTTGACGCCTGCTCTGACACGCCGCTCCCTCCCCCCCATAAGTTTTTACTGACGATCACTCTGCCCACCCCCCGTCGCTCCTGCTGACCACCGCCGCTGCCCCTGCCTCCTACTGCCACATGTCCGCGCTCCGTGCCATAAGCAATCAATTAGATCGAGCTCAGTGTGGCGCCTTACGCGTCACTCAATTCGGGCCGGCTGCTGCGTAACCTTTGGTCTCGCCGATGGCGGCTTTGTGGGCGCGCGCAACTTCATTACGTAATTACGTACAACGTCGAGCGGCTGTTTAGCGCACCAATGACTGAGTTTACCTGCGCATGATCCCTTGCCTACTTGACTCGCCGAAGTGCAGGTGTTAATAGTGTTAGGCATAAGCTGAAGTGGCGAGGCCAGCAGGGCAGGCAGGGCAGTCCACCGTGTGTGTCCCGTGGCGGGCATTCCAACACGGCAGCATCGCCTGGACACGGTCGCGGCTGGATTGATTGGTCCTAATAAACAAACCGCTCGAGTTTATTTGCAGTGAGGAACAAGTGTGAAAGGGGAGTCATCTTTTTCTGTTTGCGCCTGCCCGCCTGTCCGTCTTGATGCGATGCATATACACAATGAGGCGCGCACCGCGCCTCCCGTCGCTGCGATGGGCGGTGAAGGAAGATTCTAGCGCTATGGCCACAATAGCACCCTGAGGTATAACACAGAGTCGGCAATGATTCTAGCCGCGTTATGACGGAGAGCCAGTTGGTCGGCGAAGTTTAATGATGTAATTAGACTGTCGTCTGATAAAAACATCATGCAGCTTATAAAATTGTATTATTAAAAAATTAAATCGCGTTGTATGTATGTGTTTGTTCAGCGGTAAGCTGCATATTGTTCTTCCTGCTATTGATCTTATCGTTGGCAATAGGTTACAGCTCTGTGGCCGAACATGTCAGACGTTTAAGTCAAATGTGAGCCTCGTTTACGCGTCCTTGTCTTGCCTACGTCAATCGATTGTTTTCCCATTATTTTGTTCTCTCTCTCTTTCCATTAACCCTTCTCTCTGCTTGCTACGCCGCTGGTCTGTGCATTTAACTCAGTTTTTTCGGCCGTGCCTCAGTTCTCCTGCCACATTCCAGTCATGCCACTCTCTGCTCCGCCTTGATATATATTATATTAATGCAGGATAAATATACTAATGTATAATAACAAGACTTGTATAATGATCTCTTTGATAATAATATATATGTATCAAGGAATAATAACTCGTTGTTACTTGAATAAATAATTCACGCTTTCTTTCGTTTTAAATCGTTATACTAATGACACCGTATGGAGAGATATAGCACCTATCAATCTTATAGCAGTTCAATCAGGTATTCTACAAATATTGAACGCGCTATGTGCCGCACACATGCACAGGCACGTAGCGCACGACAACGCAGCGCAACACGACAGCACACACACGCGCACGTCGTACACACACACGCGCAACCCAACCCAACGCACGCACGGACGGCACGCGATCATCAGTTGGACGACTAGTTCTGCGCACTTCGGTGCCACGCGGCGCGGGCTAAAGACCACCACACGATAGTATAAACCATTTATATAATATATATAATAATATAATATTATATATATTGTGTTGTGTGTGCTGTGTTGTGTGTGTTCGTGTGTGTGTGTTGTGTGTGTGGTGTGTGTGTGTGCCGTAGCGTGCGTGCGTGCGGGTGCGTTGGTTGCGGCTTGTGCGTGTGTGTGTATGTGTGGGTGTGGTCATGTGGGCCTGTGTGTGTGATGTGTGTGTGTGTGATGTGTGGTTGTGTGTGTGGGTGTGTGTGTGTGTGTTGTGTGTGTGTGTGTGTGTGTGTGTGTGCCTTGCCGGAGCGTGCAGTGTTAGGCTACAAATTAGCAAGCCTGTCAACGAGAATGTCTTGTTGAACGAGGCGCGGCTGCTCTCGGCTGTTGGTTAGGAAGTTTGACGTGCGCGTAGAGAACAGTTGTTCCGCTAAACGTTTGCTAATTCATATTCCCTCTCCTAATCTGTTTCGTCAGGCGATTGTGATTGAATCAGAGCCGCCGATGCTCTACACAAA